ATTTACACTCAGCTCACTTGAATTTATCGCCTCCACCTCAGCCAATTCTCAGCCTACCGATACCGGGTCTAGTTACTTCGTCAACAAATGACAATCAACTGAATATTGAGCATAAAAGAAGACACAGTGTTGTCTATGATTCAGTAGCATCTCAAGATGGTGTAACTTATTTGAATCCCAGTCAAAAAAGATTATTAAACTTATATCCAGACGAAGCATTTCATAGTCTTCATCACCCTCAAACTGATCAGGGGAACAGGTACACCAGGTTAAATTGTTTCTCTGATTCATATCCTCTTGGAGAAACAGTATTCAATGAAGCACTTAGACAGAGATCAACAGAAGCTTTACCGAGCAATGATGGATTTTGGAGTTTTCCACGTAAAAGTAGATTGGCTGAATCAAATCTACTTAAAATGTATGCAGAGAACAATCCAAGTACACATATGCAGTATGATCATAACACACTTGGCTTTCAACCGAACTATCCTCCACATCATCAATTACCACAGTTTTATAACACAGACAGAGATTATTTACTCCGCCCAAAACACACTGGAAATAATAATCGGGTTGAATCGCCAAATAATGTTCTATCATCATCCTTTTCCGGTTATAAACCTGTAGGTATTTTCAACCAAAGAAACAATAATGAACACTATTCTCGGTCACCTTTATTACTATCACGAAACCATCAACAACGGTATCGGTATACGCCGCATAATCTACATACTATATCAACAATGTCAGAACCATGGTATGCATCAACTACTATCGGTCTACCAAGTAATATCAGTGGTAGTCATCGAATGCTTTTGGATAATAGTACATCCCCTATTGACATGTCGAATATGCATCGCAATGAAAACATGGCTGCCAGTAGTGGCGCTCTGACTGGTTATGAAGATTATGATAATGGTGGAAGTATTCAATTTCCACCTAAAATGCCTATTTTACCTGAAAGACATAAGTTATATGATATCAATTCACAGACTAAATTAATACCATCGGTGTCTGTATATTCGCATCCTTCACACACTTCTAATATATATGATGGTGATAATCGGTCGTCAGTTTGGAGTGGAGGTGATTCAATCCCTTTTGAAAGACCGTCTAATCCACATTTAAGGGAACCGAATACATTTTTCGAACACCTACCACCTCCATCAGTGCTACCTCCTCCTCATGCTACACCAGTGACTACTTTACCATAAATAACAGTCCGTTGTACAACACTGTGATAACTAAGTATAGGTTTTGTATACATAAATTTATATTATGTCTATGCTTATTATTCATTTGAAAAATTGTCTAGTTTAACGAGTAAAACTATAGAATGTTTTTTTTCTAATTTTACCCCCGAAACCCTCGTTTTCATATTTCCTATACTTCTTGTTGATATATCTGCAATAGTGAATATAAAGCTTCATGTTTCCGAAAAAAATTGTTGTTTTCCTATGTATATATATATATGCAACTTATTTTGATAGCATAAAACTGAAGTTGTTCTAAGGTGAATAACTATGTTTTAAGTATTGATACATATGCCTGCGACATGTAAGTACTTTGCCTAATGAATGGAAATGTTTATCAATAAAAGATGATGAATGGCATTATCGAAAGTGTGTCTAACAGACCACTGCTAACTATCATCAACAGTCGTCTTCGTTGGCTTGGTACTGGTCAGACAGCTAGGAAGAACAAGCAATGACAATGAACCGGCTGAGAACCTATTACCCAAAGAATGTGCAGAAGGAAGTGATGTTGGATTGAATATACACAGAGGAAACTCTCAAGTGACATCACGCTCCAGCCCATTGAGTGGGACCCGAATATGAAGCGATAAGTTGGGCATCAAGGGATGAAATAAAGAAGATCATGTGATGAGAAAAAGAAAGTTTGTGAGCAGTTGTGAGGCTAGCTGCAAATGATGTCCTGCTGAAGCCCTATTTTCCATGCGAAAAGTAAAGAACGAATAATAGTTATCATTACCAAAAAGCAGTATAAGTATTCTCCTGAATTCATCTACATTTCTTTAAACGGTGTAAGTACAACAGAAGTGACATGTCTACTGGGATAGAAACCCATGTCGACAAGGGAATTATTCCAAGATATTCAGGCGTTTGAAAACACTAGCTCGAGGCACATAAAAGAAATAATGCAATAGGTGATTTAGAAAAACACCCTGATAAAAACGAATGACGAACAGAAGTAAACTGGTAGGATGTTGACCAATTAGAGTATAACAAATAAAAGAATTCCTGCACCAACCTTGGATGCACTAAACTGGAATCATACGTTTTATCAGTAACCAGTTTCTTCTAACTTATAAGTTAACATCTAATACAAAAATGAATATACACTGATTGGTCACCAGAGATGTTGCAATCCACATTATTATTAAAAATGATCAGCTATATGCTATTGCACAGCAAGAAAGGATCTCTTCAATGAATCACTTGTTTTGATTTTCAATAAAGAATAGCTAATGTCATCCGTCTAGCTCTTAGTCTAGTACTAATTGAATAATGTTAGTCAAGCCTCCAATGTAATCAGCTAGTTAGGTAACTCGCAGTCGTGAAGGAATACCAGTTAATATTAACTGGTTGAGATCAATTAATAGGGAGCCCTGGAAGTAGTTTGGCACTCTTCAGTAAATCCTACACAGCTTAGGGGTAAAGTTTCTCATTAAAGCACTTAGTTACCTGGGTTCGAGTCTCTGCAAGGACATTAGTCCCTTTGAGACTAGATATGGGTTGATAAAGGTTGTCAATAGGCATGCAGAGTAGGTGAAGGGCATCCTACTTATCAACTTGAATTACCTGACATCAGAGAAAGCCAAATAAGAAAACCTGAACGTTTACATGTTGAGTAATAAATTATTGATGTCAAAATAAATAAACATATCAGCTAGGCGTATTATTTCCTTCGTTCAAGAACAGGCTACTTATTATTATATTTTAGGTTGATAAGACCACATTCAAATGTCGTTGGGGGTAAAGATAAACTCTACAAAAGGAATTAAAGATAAAAGATTAGCGTAACATGTCCCTAGTGAGTCATGTAACTCAAAATAGATGGAACCCCCCCTGAGAAATATTCAGGAACCTCTATCATTTCCAACTCTGGGGAATTACAATAATCCAAACCATAAATTTGACAAAGCTGCTGACTTCTATGTAAAGCCCCTATGACAACTGAAGTTGACAGAGGAATGAGCTGTTCAGAACCCATTTTATCCATATTGAGTTTCTAAAATAAGAGAACTAACCTGATTAAAGCAACAGAGACTCAAATGAACTTTTGAATGTCAAGTCTTGACATTAAATAGCAATACTTTAGTAAAGACAACACGGTTGTGTTTTCCATTCGTTGGAAAATGCCAAACTTTTTGCTATAACTACCGCTCAATGTTACTCTCGTATTTTATCTTTAGAACATCATTGATTATTACAGAAGGCAGCTTTATCTTAGCAAATATTTTTAGACCACTTCAAAGAGAATGGTATCAAACGGTTGATTTGTTTTTAACTCACGACTGTAAGAAAAACTACTGCTCTGTCAGTCTTTACCTCCACAATGGACACGACAGTCACACTTTTACTGAAATATCACCCCCAAATAATCAAAGTTCAGAGAGTGCTCCAAATTCAGGGTGTGCATCTTCTGCTGTAGATATCTTCTAACGCATCGAATGCAACTCTCCTCAAACTAATGATGAATATATTAAAGAATGCCATCATTTGCATTACATTACATGTATACTATGCCTCAAAGTATTTTGATAATCTATTCTAAAAGCTCAAAAGGCATCTCAACAGACCTAAATTGTCCAAACTTAAGGGTATTATCAGTTGACCAATTCAAGATTAAACCTCAGCACTGCGTATTCTGCCCACGAAGGCATAATAAGATAATTAGGAAGTGGAATAAAGAAGCATAACTGTTAAACGTTTATCAGCATCCTTAAAGGGTAAATAGTTAAATTTTAAGATGGTTGTAGCATCTTACATATCACTGACAAGTACGAAAAAGACGATTGAGTTGTCGGTAAAAATATGCATTCACTTGGGTATTTTCTCGTTAAACCATTGTGACGCAAATAAGTTACCTCTCCATACAATAACTTGAACATTAACAGTATCCTGCATCTGTAATGGCTTTCTAAAAACTAAAACAGTATGCTTATTTATTTTTACACCCATTTTATGAATTCCTGTACGACAGATAACGTCGTGTAGCACACATAATCGCAGTTCGCCCATACCAGCTTTTCTTATTAAGTGGTGTAAATTATTTATTACTTTATAATTATTTGGAATTGAATCTATCATTTATATCCACATACACACACCTACTCTATGTACTAGATAAGTTAATGGATGGAATATTTATTTTTCATGCTGAAACACCACTATTAACGAAACAAAGCATTAGCTAAACTATGATTTGGTTAAAACAGCAGCGATCTCCGCAGACCTTTACTGTTGGTTTAACTCATGACTGGGGTTCCAAAAACGTTAGTAATCAGTCACATCATACTAAGTAATTCACAAAATCCCACGTTCATTTATTCATGGTTACCAGAATTTTAATCATCTTAACAGGTTTGAGCTGACTTTTTTTCCCTCTTCAAACCCAAATGATCTTACATCAGTTAAAAAACCAATGAAGGTCACTATACTATCGTCCAGACGCTATCCTGTAATTCAGTAGCCTGTAGGACTTCAGAAAGTCAAACGAAAGTGGGGATATATGCTGCACTAGCTAAGCTTACAGTAATCACCACACTAAATGTCTTAAAGATAATTTTGTCACTATTTTAAAGTGGCAGGGAGTTTCCGTGAAACTGCATTGACATCTGTGAGAGCGATTAGTGAGATCCTGTTGACTTCCAAAACTAAACAAAAGTGAACATTTTTTATTTGGAATAAGTTACTGATATATTTTTGAATTTCGATTAACATAACACACAGATCTTTATAAAATACCAGACTGTATAGGGATAGAACATCTGCTTAAGATGACAAATAGTCCTAAAATCCTCCACACTTAACCAATTAGTGTGTTAATGTTATGCAAACAAATCAAAAGCCTGTCTTGTTATTCTGGATGTTTCGAATCTTTTGAGCCAGGTTTTGAGTTTTGAGCTGATAGTTGGCAGTAAGCTGCTTAGTTTCATCTAAAGACTGCCGTTTATGTAATACAGAATCATAAGAATCCTCATAATTTAACAACAATGCATTTTTTCCTAACAGTCCACAAGACCGACGAAGTCGAGCGTTTTCTGCTCTTAACAGTTCTCTGGTCTGTTTCATTTTTGTCAGTCGATCTCTATTAAGTGTTAGCTCCTCATCAGCTTCATCAAGCTTCTTCTTTTGTTTAGCATTATCGTTCTGAACAGATTGAAGCTTCTCCTTAATGTGAGTCATAATCTGAACAGTGTTCGAAATCTTTCGCCTCAACTTACTTAGTTCTTCATTTCTCTCATCAATCTTCTCATTATATGTTTGATTTTCTATCTTTAACTGCTCAAAATCGATCAAGTGAAGACCCTCTGACAACTCTTCTTTTGATTTTAAAAGCGCTTCTACCTTCAAAACTTCATTTTTCAACTTTATATTTTCCAGTCTTACTTCCCTTACAAGAGCTTCTTTTTTCTTCTCGGCATCAAACATAGCAGAAAGTTCTTTGGGATTTATTGGTTTGCCAGTCTGACTATGAAGTGCCTTCTTTCCTATGTTATATTTGAAGTTCATAAACTCATTGTATGCTTCGTCAACTTCTTTTTGCTTTTCATCGCACATTTCTCGCAGCTCATCAATTTGTTTACTGTAAGAAGCCTTCATTTCTTCGTACCACTGATGAAGATCTGCCAAACTCGAAATATATCTGGAGTATCTTTGCTCATAGTCCACACCAGTATCCACTACGCTGACACCACTACTTGTTGTTATACTCTGCTGATCAGAGGCATCAGCTTTCTTGCGCCTAAAATACTCAGCCAGTTTAGTCTGAAGTTGAAGGTTCAGCTCCCTAGCAGCCTTCAGCTCATTTACGGATTGCGTATACTGCTCCATCAACTCCTCACGCTTTTTCAGTTCATCTCCGGTCTTAAGTTCATCATCTGCATTATCTCTTGATTCACTGGTATCTTTAGAGGATAAATGAGGCACAAGGCTTAAATCTTCTTCAGGCTTAGAAATTTCTGAAATATGTGATTCACCTCTATCTTCAGAAACCTCTCCCACAAACATTTCAACTTGTGTTTTGTCAGCGAAAGTTTGTTCTCTTTTATCTGCATTCTCTAATTCCTTATTATCTTCTGGTTTTGATGAGTCTTCATTTATACCCTCGTTAATATCGGCTTGCGCTCCATCAATTCCGGCAATTATTGTCTTCGCTTTGTCTGAGGTGGAAATATTCTCTACATCATCAGCGGCATTTTTCTCAGCTACAGCTGTATCATCTCTGGTCGTAGGATCATCTACATCACTAAAATTTGCAATATCAACAGCTTCTATATTACGTTCTGAAACAAGTTCTGCTTCTTCGTTCTCCACGAGGTTATTTAGATTTTGAAATCCCGGTGCTTCAAGTTCTTTTTCCTTTAGGGAAGTAGATGCTGAATGATTTACATTTAAGATAGAACAATTTCATACCTCAGTCTCCATCCCTTCCTCAGAGTCCATTTTTGAATTATCAACATCTGTTGTCACAGTTACTGATATGAATTGCTCAATATTCAGGCTGTCCAATGTATTTAATGGCGATGTACAGGTTACTATAAGTGATTTCGCAATATTTAATGACTTCACACCTGATTCCAATATCAAATATCGTTTTTACGAGCTAGTATAAGCCAATTTGATCTCTTTGTGCTCGCCTCTTGATTGTGAGGTAGATGTTCCTGATCTTCGTTAAACGTCTGCGTAGCTCATCCCGCCACTCGACTGTCGTAGCTTCGTTTGACTCCAAAAGGAGTATTGCAGGGATTAATTGCATGTGGTTTGTAGAATGAGGTGTGTTAAGACTGATTTCGTGAATTTTTGCGCGATCAACCACAATCTATCTCTCAAGGACCCCTGGGGTTATGGTCGGTTGGGGAAATCTGAAAAGCATTTTGTGGTCTATAGTAACACTGTGGTCTGAGTTAGTCCTTCGCATTGTCTAGTATCTTTTCCGCAAGCCTGTACAAATCTTATGATTCCTTCAATCTGGCTTCTTGTTGTTCTGATTTTCTGATGGATTTCGATGCAGTCATTCTCCTTGACTGCCACAATTTTCTGCGTCCACTACGAAGAGACACATTAATTTGTTTGGGGAGTATGCATTTTATATGCTAGAGCAGTAGAGTTCTGTTAATGGCGAATTTTGTGTCGCCTAGTTGTTCCCTAGTTAAGTTGAGAAACATTCTACAGGAGGTGGTAATTGCTGTCTTGGAATGAAGTCTGAAACATTGTAAACTAAACAAAAGTGTGATATGGAAAGATAGTTGGGTGTAGGACATTAAGAGGCTGATGGTACTGACGTTCATAGATAGTACGAAGTATACTAACGCAAGATCTAATAACCACAACTTCTATAGTATTCTTTCGGCGTAGACCAAAGGCAAAGCGAAACAGAATAATTGATCTTCATTATAATAAAGGTTTTTGTATTTCCCAATGAATGAAAAACAATATCGTTTTGTTTTTCATTCATTGGGAAATACAAAAACCTTTATTATAATGAATATCATATACCCAATTTTTTTCAAACCGTTAAAAGTGAACTTGGTTTGGTCATATATAGAATAATTGATCGTCCAGATTGCGAGATATATTTCGGGACCAAATCGGAAGGCGAGATGATTGCCTAGCTAGCTAGGGATCGTGGACGAATGAACGAACGTGACACAACGGAGTACCAAATAACGTGGATGCTTGACCGGAAGCCTTCAGTTAAACGAGTTGAATTAAGCAGTGAGAGTCAGTATCCAAAGTTCAGTGATGAGTCCTGTGGCCAATAATTTTGGGGAATTATTTGCCGCTATAGACATGTAAAACATCAACAGTGCACGCGCATTTAACGAAAAAATAACGAAACCAGTAGGGACAGCGGTGTTAGTAATTTTGCGTAGTATGCAAAAGTAAGTTACAGTAACTTGGATATTCATTGTACCGGTACAGCCCCTTAGAACTAATCTGCTTACCCCACAGGTGCGCACGAACCTGCTTTTGCGTGATGGTCCAGTCCTCTTTTGAAGCTATCTATTGATGGAACCGTCGCCACTATGCTGGGTTGTAATTTTCCTAGGTGACAAATTCTAACGGAAAATAAGCTGACGCTTTGTTGCTGCTTTCTGTTAGGGTTATCTCGATGGGTACCATTATAGGAAACTAGTCAGTTAGTCTTCTTAAACGACTTCGAGTTCTCCTTCGGTTGGCTTCAGGTAAACATAACATTCATGTTGGTTGTGTGGTCAGCTGTCATGTTGGATTCGAGCTTTGACCACAATACCTGCTGGCTCTTTAGCCTCGCCTAACTAACCTGGTAGTCAGACCATATCTTAAATTTCCCCACCAGTAGAAAATAAAACACTTACTGTCGCACAGAGATATATGTATTAACGATGATATGAAGAAAGTATAGAAATATGCAATCACAACACAACTTAGTCGACGAACTCTTATCCCTTGAAAATGCGGCTGTTCTCAATGTGTTCTAATCCTCAAAGGTTCAGTTGACTTGACTAACTACTCTGATCCCCCACACAATAATGCTCATCTGAAAGTATGCCTCAGATCTGTTGCACTGAACTGTAAACTATTTTGTATGCAATGTTGGGGTCTTTCCCTAGTTCACTGATATAGTGAGCGTCTGGGGTTAGTGAGAAAGTTTTCCAGAGACTTAAGAAGGCCTCTAACTTTAGTGTACCCAGCTGTCTTAGCATGGAATGTAGCATAGTATATCCTCTATCAATCGTTTCATGTAATTTAAGGTATGCCATTGAATCTCCTTACGCTTTTCAAGGTTGTAAGTTGTTCAGATAAATTCTGCTGGATATTTCAAGATTCTTGTGTTTGTAACCTGTTTGCATCCCTTGTCTACTCTTCTAATGGCTCTCTTAAATTCCGTGCCGTAAGTGTAAAGTATAGTTGGATAATCTGGATTACAGGTAAGGCCATTGCGGAATAATGGAAAAACTAAGGGTCCGAAAATGAACTCTTGCCAAATTCCCGATATCGGAATACACAAGGATTAGCGGAAGTAGTAAACTCGACTCAGGAATTCCACATAATAACAATCATCTGCCTGGTGGGTGTTAAGAAGTTTCGCGTCGAATTCCTTCTGAAAACATAGGGACATCACTCAGCTGTAGTCTTCATACCTCAGTGTAACTTTCAGTCTTTCCAAGAAGGCAGTAGCATTTTCCGCAAGAGTTGTCTCTTCCGAAAGTGTGGTGAGCTCCATAAAATGCACCACTTGCTTCAAAGCAATTCTTCATGGGATCATGTAGAAACATTAAAACACAGGATGATTCAGTCGCTAGAACGTCGTTAGTGTTGAAGGGGTTCAGGAAGACGAGGTGAGTAACAAAGTAGAATCTCTATCTTCTTTATGATTCTCAAGGTTCTCTTTATCTACTGAACAACAACGAACTATGAATGCTCCTCCGTGTGTTGGACTAGGTTCTCCAATTCGCTTGCACAAGAGCGTTTTCGAAATAAACGTCCAAACGATGTAAATTCCTTATGTGATAATACGCCCTATCGGTAGGCGATTTGGGTGATAAGTTTGATAGTAAAATCGTTTTGATGATATTAGATAGTTGGATGTGTACCATACCACCTCACTGTTGGCCATACTCAGTATCCATTAGATTGCATTTAGCTACCCCAATATGCGGAGCGGAAAACAAATAGCAACTTGTGAGAATCATGATAGAGACTCAGACATCATGCTTTGAGGAACCATTATGGCTGTAAACTCTCACGCAGCATCTCTCAATCCATTTTAGGAACTTGCTCAGATCACATTCAAAAGACGTCTGCTTCTCATCAGCGAGAAGGCCGGGTCGAATGAAGCCGAGGGAGATGACATTGGCTGCGACCCTAGGGAAAGCCCTCAAAACCTGTCTGTTTACTAATCAGTATCCATTTAATTATGGGATACGTTTCAACTATACTGTCTTACTTTTTGGCTTAGTTATACGCGACCGCTTAGAAATGGATGCTACATGACCCAGTCCGTGTTGTAGCAGACTAATAATGAGGGCGAATAGGGCTCGAAAACTGATGCAATGCAACACTCCCAGGTGATTGAAGGTCACTCCAGCAAGTCTATTTTAATGACGTCGAGTTAATACGAGCCAACAGCTTGAAGGATGGTGTGGTACATATAAGAAAGTTGCGTCAAGTCCTGTGAAACCGCGGTCTGACTGTTCATCTGTGCAATTTCCACTACAAGGCATATCGAGGAGGAGAAGCAAGCAGCATAGCATCAGAAAACAACAAGTGTGTGGACACAAGTAGAACTTTAATTCCTGTATATATACATATATATTGGTTGTACATTGCAGTCCATTTAACATGTATATTGGTATTATCTGTCTTCTTATACATCTCTGTGACTAGAGTGTCTATCGTTCATGCAAAGTAATCAGTAAGGTTTTACGCCTTCTGTAGATACTAGAGCGATCTAATAACTGATTCGTTCTAAAATAAATCGTTTGTTCATGTTATTAGTAGAATGAAACAGTCTGTACAGAGAGTGTCTGGAACTCGTAACTGAAGTGCGGGTTCTGGTTTCCGGGGGAAGCCGTTCCACATTTAAGAGTACGTGACTGTGAAGAAATTTTTGTGGAGCGATGATTTAGAGGCTTTTATTTTCACTGTGCAAGTTTGGTTACGCAGATCGTAAGAGCCTTCTTGTGCGAATTGTATGTCCTTACTGTCTGAGAATGATATTTTGTGTAGGACCTTATAGAAGAATACTAGGTTTATAATTAGTCGTCTTGTCCAGAGTGGGTCAAGTTGTAGAATCACGCACCGTGAGATGTAGTCTTTCTTACATTCGTAGCCAAGTAGTTTAGAGGTAAAATATCGTTGGATACTTTCTATTCTTAGCTTTTCACGTGTATGAGTGCTGCTAATAATAAATGGACAGTATTCTACTAGTCGCTTTATACACGTTTTGCATAGAATGAGCTTGGTTTCATTGCCGTAAAAGTTCCTGAGTATGAATCCTGAAATCATCCTCGACTTGCGAGTCTGTGATGCCACTTGCTCAGATGTTAGGTCGCTAGAGTACCTCACGCGTATGTCAACGACACTTCGGATTGTGGTTAGGTGGGCAGATTGAGGCGTTAATTTCATGTCGATTGAGGGTGCGCCGAAGCAGATCCAACCACATTTGTCCAGACTGAATTGTTGACTCCATAAAGAAGATCAAGCAGTCACTTTGTCTAATTCATCCTGCACAACATTCCGGAAGTACCCTAGGCCGTCGCACTGGAATGTGTAAGCTTCTTTTAGGTCATGTACATAGATGTGTGGTTTACCTTGTTAGAAGCAAGCGCATGTCATTGATATAAAGTGTAAATAGGAGGGGCCCAATGACATTACCTTGCACTACACCAGAAGTGATTGGGCTAGGTCTGGAAGTTACAGAACCGAGTTTAACTATTTCTGACCTGTTGTTAAGGAAT